CACTAATAAATATTTTATAATAAATAATATATTTTATATTACTTATTTGATTTACTTTAATAAAAAATTCAGGACTTTAATTTTTTTATTTTTTTTTATTTTTCCTTCTAAAAAAGTTATGTGAAAGTCAATATAATCTAATATTGTATACCCTTTTCGCCGCATGTGTATTTAAATACTCCCTCCAAGACATAGGACTCAGATTCCCAGTGCATTTGCGTGATCAAGTTTTTGTTTCCTGTTGTGTTTACTGTAGGCAAACTGATCATGTACTTTGACCTTGTTCTACTAACTTTTAAATTATATACGAATTGTCAAATATTTTCTTTTATTTTTTTTTCAACTTACCACATTTGATTATAAAAAAACGGCAAAAAACATTCGGAATTCCGTAAAATTTTATAGAAACAGTAACTTACACCACAATTTCGTAACCTTCAAAAAAATATAAATCAGTGTCATAGCTGTTACGGTGTCCGAATTATGGCGATTTGTATGAACTATGTTTTGGGGTATTTAAATACCCCTTCGTCGTTAGTGGGTTAATTTGACACCTCATTTTGGAAAATCTAACGAACGGTGCAGATATGATGTTAGTGACTATTAAATAATTTAAATTTAACACTAGAGCAGTGTCTTCGGCATGAGAAAACGTCCCTCTAAGTATGAAGAAACGTCATTTTCTACCCAAAAACGTCTTTTTCAAATGTATGCACAAAGAATTGTTCTTATTAAACTTTCATTGTACACAAAGGTACATATTCAAAGGTTCAAATATTTTGTAATGGAGGAGATAGGGGTCATTATCTTCAAATGGATTATTGGCAGTTCAGCCTAAAAGTGGCGATGCCGAGATATGTTTTTCATCAGTAGGTTTTGTATGTAAAAACTGCAGGTCAAGCGTAGAAGACTCCGCTTTGAATGCTTTGCTGCTCTTACGAAAACATTTTAAGTGCAATAATAACAACACCGGCAAAAAAAGGGGTGTGTGTTTTTAACCAGACCCACCTACCAACATGTATTTCGACCCGCTGAATCCGATTCTGAGATCCGTTTGACTCGTACACCCTCAAGATTTCAAGAAAATTGCAAAAAACAAATGGCAAAAAATTCTCCATTCGCCATTTCTTTATAGAGAAGAATAAACATGTTTAGAGAAATTGTTTTTGTATATTTTTGTTTTATGTTTTTTTATTAATCGTTACTATCAAAAGTACCTGGTATTTAAATTATTATTTGTGATGTATACGTTCCTCAAACACATGGTTTTTTAAATACAATTGTAAAAATGTTTTACTTTAAAATTTGTCTGAATAAATAAATATCGCTAGCGTAGAGTGCAAAGTTGCTAAGTCCCAATTTAAAAATTGTACAGGAGAGGAAAAACTTCGTATAGCCATTTTCTTCAAGTATTTCGCAAAACTTTAAATACAACATTTTGCCTATTTAAAGCAAAGCAAAACTCCATACGAATCGGAGGGATTCGATATTTATTAAAATATTTCGAACTTTTTTGGCCTTAGCATATTTTCCTTTCATTGAATATAAACGAGAAAACATAAAACAAGGACCTTTACCCTTTTTGAAACGTTGCAATATTAATTTATCTAGCCTCCTATATCAAAATATGATTTTTCATTAAAAGTGAAGTTAGCAACTTTTCACTCTAAGCTAGCGATATATGAGTTTTATACCATGTCCCCACCAAAAAGTTAACCATCTCAAATCGAACTTAACCACATCACTAACTATTGCTGTCCACACTGCGGTTTGAGGTTTATAAAACAGTACAAATGTAAAGAACAGTGTTCGGGCCAAAAATCGATTCAGGACTAAATTACTGCAAAAATCGGAGCAAAAACCAATTTTCCGTACTAGATTGAATTTTTTATTTTTGTTTCTGACATTAACTGTTTGACTAAAATATTTTCTACTCATGCAAAATAAGAACGCGAGGCAATATAAGGATAATATATTACATATTTAGGTAATTTTTAGCATTTTAAATATAGTAGAACGTATCTAACACTTAATTTTTTAAAAAGCAAACCTTTTCTACTTTATATAAATTTCATTCCTCATATATTTTTTAACAACTTAAGTAAAGTTCTGCATCCGCCAATTTGTGCAGCCATACATCAAAGAATAACGATGTTACTTTATTGACGCATTGCTATGAAAGAGTTACTTTTTAACAGTGAGATTTGGCTAACTTTCAATTTTTTAACTGAAACCGGTGGTGAACACTCAAAAAACGGCACCAAGAGGGGCATAGCTTGAAAGAAAAAAACGGAATAGATTTGAAGTCAAGCGGAGTAGAGGAGTAGATTTCAAATTTTTTCAAAAATCGGAGTAAATCTAATTGATTTTAGTGGAGTCCAAACACTAGTAGGGAACGAATTCTTCATATTTTAACGCTAATGACCCACAGATGGCGGGCAAACACAGGGTTGTATCAGACTTTCGACGTGGTCTCGAGTTGGTTAGCTTTTAACCATCTCAGTGAAATGGTTAAGTGCTGTCATTTTTATATGGCGAAACTACGCTAAATCAAGTGGGTTATCGGGATAACCAACTCAATAGCCATAACTACGTGGTTAGCTTCGGTGGGGACATGGTATTACAATCAGTTTATCGTAAATTTTAAATAGTTTTATTTCATGGTATGTTTAAATGTTTTCAGATATTGAATTTTTACTCATACTCATAAAACATATGACTCAATTTGAATTCCGGGAAAAATCCCGGGATCCCGGGATTACCTAAAAAATGTCCCGATATCCCGGGATCTCAATTTTACTGATATTTTGGCATCCCTAGTACGTATGTACGTAAGGTATATTAAAATGTCATTTGCTAACATTTAAAATTCATTCTAAACTGGTTTGAGATCGTTAATACAAAAATAATTGTATACATACACTTGTGATCAGCTTATTAAGTCATCGATTTCGGCATTTCTTTTCTGTTTATTTAATGTTTATTATTTTTCCATAAAAGCCTAGCTCATTATATAACAAACAAAATATAAATCCACATTTCAAACTTCGTGCAAAAAATTATAAAAAATCGGCAAAATATCAGCTATCAGAATTTTTAGAATTCTTTTGAGTATTCAGGTTGATAGCCCATTAAATTCCAGGGCAATAATATGCAAGTTTTAAGGTGCTAAAGAATCGCGTTGATTTTTTATATATATTTTTTTTCTTCTTGTAAACATTTGGCTAAGTGGTCTGTTGTCAAAAATGCTAAATATCGTTCTATTAAAAAGGAACATAGCAATATTTCAGCCTTTTTACGTTCATTATATTTTCAATAAGGGGCCCCATGCGACTAATTGTGTAATTTTCTTTATGCGCTTAAATAAGGGTTAAGTCATCTGTGTCGAAAGAATAAATATATTTGAAGCATCTGCTGCAAAAAACAAAGCTTGTAAAGATTTATTAAGAAAATAATTCAAAATCAGTTCTACTTACAAGATTTAGTAACAGAGAAAAATTACTGGGAAGTTAAAAAACGTCAATTTTTACGCAAAAAACGTCCAAACGTCAACAGGATATAAAAAAATATCCAAATGACGTTAAAAACGTCAACCTGGCAACGCTGCACTAGAGTACACGCGCGGTCTACTATAATAGACCACAGTAACATCTTTATTGATACCGTGACAACTTTGTACGTTAGAGCGGTGCGGTTCCAAGAAAGCCTTCCGCATTGAATTTTTCGACGGGTGAGTACCGCGCTTGACTTCCATACTTACGCACTTTTTTTTGGATTGGCGCGAAAATCGCGGGCATACCATAGTAATCCGCGCTAGTATTGGTGTACTGAATTTATAATTTGGTTAGTACGCATATGTGTTGCATCAGTGATCTTGGAAACTGCCGCCGATGTTCACTTAAAATATTTTTCGATTTGATGAACATTGCTGCAATCAACGCTCTCATAATCAACCAAATTAACGGGAAACTTTTTACAAGAATAGTCCATCGGTTTATTGAAACAGCCTTTGAATCGCCGTTCATTCAGTGAAACACTTCTCTAACAACTAAAATATGCAATAGGGATACTCTTACGTGCATCTCAAGAAGTACAGCACGATGTAATACGAAATTTTAGTACTTATGGTACCAGATTTCTAAGTCCATCCACAAAAAAGTGGTGCAAGACTTGTAACAAATGGATTTTTCGTGATCACCAGGCTGCGGTGGGCACTCAAAGTTACGGAAACTGATAGTTTTTTAAGTAATATTTCTTTAAGAAGAAAATGCAAGACATTGATCTAAGAAGTAGAATTATTCTAATTTTTCTATTACATTAACTAAATTATTTTTTATTTCAAATTCTTACTTGCTACAAAAAAATTCAAGTTTGTGATCGTAAACGTAATATTTTTTGAACTATAAGTTTCATGTAAACGTTATCCAAAAATACATTTATTGATATTTTAAAATGGTCTACTATAGTAGGACACGCGTGCATTGGTGTAAAAAAGAACGCATGCACTCTAGTGTTAATTATTCAACTTGCAACTTTTTCCAAAAAAAATAAAACCAGTTGACACATCTACAGGCCAAGCGCTTCAACTTGACAACCCGTTTTTGAAAATCGAGCGAGCGGTGCAGATCTCATGTCCTGGACAAGAAATCCCTTCACGTATTATATACATACATATATATATTAGTCACACGAGTTAAAATGTACTTCAATTAGGTTGACAAGCGTTAATTTATGGTAGAAAAAATTGAGCTACGATTTTGAAAATTAAATTTGTCTTAATTGAAAAATGCCCTTCTCAAAAGATTTCTTATATAGTTATGTGCAAATGTGTATGACTCAGCTCATGAAAAAAGGGGTTATTGGACAAAAGTCCTGATTATTCATCTTTTCTAAAGTAACAATTTGGTGTATTTTACGCAAACAGTATATTTTCACTGTAACATATTGTTATCGGGTTCAATTAATAATTTACTCAACATTGAAAATATTTAAAATCTTACAATTGTTTCTGTCTCCTCCAAACAGCTTGTGATATCGTATGAAATTTGGTCGGCCACCGAAAAACTTTCCATTTTGATTAAGTACTTCTCGAATCACCTCCAATTTGCTTACAACAATACATCTGGTATTTCCCATAACTAACGTATATATGTCTCCAAATTGGTTAGAGAGATCCGTGAATGCTTGCAACGGCCCTTTGTGAGACTTTAACAAGTTAAGGTTTCCGAATATTGGCCATGGAAGAGGACCAGGAGCTTGTGGATAAATTTGGATTTTCTTTTCTGTAGATTCATTCGTTATTACTTTAATTTTACGATAGTGTTTATGCAATATGGGAATATATAAAAACCCAACTGTTATAATTATTAAGAAGCACGAAAATAACATCATCGTAAATAAATAAATAAATGAGACTCGAAATACAAGCTAAGTTTTATATACTTCGATCCGCAAAAGGTTTTCATTTACTATTGAAACAAAGAGTGTTCAGTTACTTACTACTAGTGCTTGCTCAACGTTTTAAATACATATATACATACATATGTAAATATAATGTAAGAATATGTATTTATTCCATATGTCATCCTATTGGGAATATGCTAATTGAATGCCTCAATCGCCAAATCGATTAAATCCACTTTTTGAAAAATCTTAATTTTAAGTGTCAAAGCACTACGTATATAACTTATAATATTTATAATAACTGTATATAATATATAACAATATATAATATTCAAACTAACATTCTATATTTCAATTTATATAATAAAGGGAACTTTAAAAATATATTTCATATTATTTGATCACAACTCCCAGCTTGTTCTTAATGGAGTTAACCGATTTGGCAGTGAAGCATTCAATAACATCTCTACATATGTATGTATTAGGGATGCCAATCCCGGGATCCCGGGATCCTGATGTTTTCGACGTCCCGGAAATCCCCGGATTTGCTTGCATTAATCCCGGAATCCCGAAAATTTTTAAATATCGAATTGATAGTAAGAATTTGTTTATGAATTTTGAAGTATGATTTCTGTAAAATGCCGTTTTGACTGCAATTAACAAAAAGCTTGAAACTGTACTTTTAAATTGCAGTCTGAGCCTTTTTTGAAGAAGATTTCAATGAATTTACTCATAGCGTCGCTAATGTAAACGAAACAGAGTTTTAAGCATGATAAAAATATAGTAAGGTAGAACCGCTGAGTTACTTTTAAAATTCTTGACGTTTCCAAACATTTTAATTTTTAAATGTACTCACAAACTAACACACACATTTTCATTTTCAATCTCAAGCAACAACAATTCGAACAATTTCAATTTTTTTATTTTCAATTTTATATGATTTTAAAATGCTGGCAAACTTCAAAAAAAAATCATGGCCGACAAAATGAGAGAACGGTTCTACCTTTCTATGTTTTTATCATGGTTTTAAGGAAAAGTTAGATAATTTTTTAGATCAATCTACTCAAAACTTCCTCAAATCGAAAAACGAGAAACGTGCTGGTAAAAGAAGTTCAAATATTTTGTAATGGAGGAGATAGGGGTCATTATCTTCAAATGGATTATGTCTACCTTTTGGCAGTTCAGCCTAAAAGTGGCGATGCCGAGATATGTTTTTCATCAGTAGGTTTTGTATGTAAAAACTGCAGGTCAAGCTTAGAAGACTCCGCTTTGAATGCTTTGCTGCTCTTACGAAAACATTTTAAGTGCAATAATAACAACACCGGCAAAAAAAGGGGTGTGTGTTTTTAACCAGACCCACCTACCAACATGTATTTCGACCCGCTGAATCCGATTCTGAGATCCGTTTGACTCGTACACCCTCAAAATTTCTAGTAAATTGCGAAAAAAATTGCAAAAAATTCTCCATTCGACATTTCTTTATAGAGTAGAATAGACATGTTTCGAGAAATTGTTTTTGTATATTTTTGTTTTATGTTTTTTTATTAATCGTTACTTTCAAAATTACCTGGTATTTAAATTATTATTTGTGATGTATACGTTCCTCAATCACCTGGTGTCTTAAACACAATTAAAAAATGTTTTACTTTAAAACTTGTCTGATTGAATAAATAAATATCGCTAGCGTAGAGTGCAAAGTTGCTAAGTCCCAATTTAAAAATTGTACAGGAGAGGAAAAAACTTCGTATAGCTATTTTCTTGAAGTATTTCGCAAAACTTTGAATAGAACATTTTGCCTATTTAAAGCAAAGCAAAACTCCATACTAATCAGAGGGATTCGATCTTTATTAAAAGATTTTGAACTTTTTTGGCCTTATCGAATTTTCGGAGCTTTTTTGGCCTTAGCATATTTGTCTTTCATTGAATATAAACGAGAAAACATAAAACAAGGACCTATACCCTTTTCGAAACGATGCAATATTAATTTATCTAGCCTCCTATATCAAAATATGAGTTTTCATTAAAAGTGAAGTTAGCAACTTTTCACTCTAAGGCACTCCGCACATTAAGCTCCTAATCACAGTAGTGTAATCGTTTCGGCATACTAAAGTATAAAGCTTTTATGCCGAACCCATGTATTTCAATGAAGCTCTGTAGATTACGATTCAAAATCATGTTTGCGCCTAATCATAAAAGCTTCATGAATCGAAGTGCCCGACATTGTAAGGCGCTTGCAGTTTTGAAATCGTCATTTGTTTACTTTTTTGTGTTGGAAATAAAATTTATTTGTCAGTTCAATAGAAAATAATTGGAAATGAACGATTTCGTGCTAAAATTCGTTCAAATTGCATTAAACCACAAGCGTTTATGCAATATTTCGGAGCAGAAATATTTGCGGAAGTGCGTGTTGCGTAAGAACGGCCAAAAATTTGTTTATGTGTAGAAAGTGTTTATTAGCTGGTGACTTATGCAGGGCGTGCAAGTGTGCAGAAGTCGAGTCGTCATGTATTCGTTTCGGTATGATGAAACGATTCCTCTACTTTGATTAGGCGCGTAATATGCCGAGTGCCTAAGCTGGCGATACATGAGTTTTACAACCAGTTTTTCGTAAATTTTAAATAGTTTTATTTCATGGTATGTTTAAATGCTTTCGGATATTGAATTTTTACTCATATTTATAAAATTTATGACTCAATTTGAATCCCGGGATAAATCCCGGGATCCCAGGATTACCTAAAAAATTTTCCGAAATCCCGGGATCCCAATTTTCCTGATATTTTGGCATCCCTAGTATGTATGTATGTAAGCGGCTAAGATGGGGCGGCTCCAAATGCAATTGCTATTTATATATTCATGTACATTAGGGTGGCCCATATCTGAAAAAACTGGAAATTCTCGGCGTTGCCACTTACAAATATGCGAATGAACTATATGCTACGAAATACATACAACCTTTTAGTAGGGATGGGTATGATCGAATTTTAGCTCCAAAATGGCGAATTTTTGAAATCGAACTTTGTGGTGCTAAAATTCTAATAAAAGTGAATTTTTGTAGAAAAAATAGAATTTCGTCTTTATTTGCAAAAAAGCAACTCTGGAACTTTATTCTTTCTGACTAAATTTGGCACTACTGTGTGCGGCACCACGTTTGCCTTAAAATAACAAATACAAAGTCAGTTTCAGTATACATTTTGTTAATTCCTTTTAATTGATACTAAAAAAATTCATGATACATTTGATAAATTTTTGCATTGTTTCAGATATTTTTTTGAGATATTTATTTGAACAAAAAAACTTCTTAAAGCTCAGTTAGTCTAAACTTAATTTTTGTAGCTTTATTTAATATTTTGGCCAACCTGTTATATGAGAAACTTACCGTAGGAAACTTGATAACCTGAAGGTTTTTTATTCTTAAGTTACGGCCTTACGGAAATTGACAGCGGTGAGAGAATCAGGGTTGCCAGACTTTCGTTTTTGTATTTCCTAAAAATAAGCAAATGCTAACATTTTTTGTTACATGATTTTTAATTTTTATTTATTTTTTGATGTTGTATTATAAGTGGCGAACTGTCAGTCAGCTGTAAAAGAAAATACAAAAAACAAAATAGGTCAGCTTCTAGCTTAAGTTGAAGTGTTAAATAATCTTTGACTATATCTTACGGTAAGTTAAGGCTGGACTAAATGAGCTTTGATTTGTACTAGTGTTCGCCCAGCGGTTGAAATTCAACCACTTAAATTAAGTTGAAGTGAGTTCAGATGAAGTGAGTTTAGATAAGTTAAGGTGAGTTAGGGTGAGTTCAGCTGAGGTGAGATGAGCTGCGGTTAGTTGAGGTGAAGTAATATTAGGTGTTGAGTTGAAATCAAATCAGGTGAGTTGGGTTGAGGTGAACTGAGGGGACTTGATGCGAGGTTAGTTTAGGTGAGATAAGGCGAGTTGAGGGGATTTGAAGTGAGCTGTGGTGAATTGAGTTGAAATGCGTTGAACAACAAAATATAGCATTACATAGCAAAACTAAAAACAAAAAAAAAATATCAAAACAAAACATAATATGTATAGCAAAACATATCGCAACATAAAAACTTAATATTATGTAACAATATAACATAATATAATATAGCATAAAATATCACAACATAACATATCATAACAACATAACGCAACATAACATAACGTAGCACACCATAACATAACAATATCGCATTCGTCTGTTTTATCTCTTTCTTTGTCTATATTTATCTCCATCACTTTCTCTTTGTTTCTATCGCTTTGTATTTTTTTATCATTGTGTTTATTTCTATATTTGACTTCCCATTTTTTCTTTATCTTTTCATTTCCCGTTACCTTGATCTCTATTTTCATTATTTTCTCGATCTCCATATTCACTCCAACCTTTGCCATTATTTTAAATATTTAAATTTACCTTCCCCTTTGTCTTTATATTTCCTTTTTGGCATCAGGAAATTGGGGGATGAAATAACATAAAAAGGCAATAATGCTAAATTTGCTTTATTTCACTTTTGAATGCGAAATAATACCAAAATCTGAGTTTTGCTTTATTTCCAACAAAGGTTGGAAAAACAAATTTTACCTTATTTACCATTACTTATTTATACTATTTGAAACAAAAAAAGTTTACTGACAGAAGGAAAAGGAACTTTGTTCATTCCAAAAATACAATTAAACAAAAAATGTGATATAATTTATATGAAGAAAGTAATAATCACAAAATATTTTTACTTATGAAAAGTCTAACAAAACATAAGGAAAGCGTGGTCTTTAATAGTTGCCCAGCAAATTCGACATACCGCTTTTGTATGAATTTTGTCTGCATGCTTTTTAATATGTTGAAAACATTGCTAGAAAACCTTAAAATGTTTGCTTGAAACCATGGCAATAAACAGGTGAAGTAATAAAACAGCTTTCTCGCTTTAGTTTCTGACATTTGGCTGCCTTATATCCAAAATTTAAAGGCAATTTTTCAAATAAGGCAGTGTTAAAATCTTTCTTCTCGCTCTAATTACTTCACCTGGTATAATTTCGCCCTTGCATGGAACAAACAAAAGTTGCCGTTCCTGTTCGCAGCATATAACACAGAGATTATTGTTTTGAGTTTTATCTTCAGTTAAAATTTCTGCATTATCGTCACTTGCTATATCCGAATTGTGGATTTCGTTTACGAAGACGAAGCGAACAAGTGGTACGAAATGGTGATGTAAATATAAGTAAATTTTACCTACTCTCAGACTTCTAAATTTCTGAAGCAAGTGGGATGAATGGCACAATAAAAAGGTAAAGTAATAAAACAGCTTTCTCGCTTTATTTTCTGACATTCGGCTACCTTTTAGTCATATGTTATACCCAAATTTTCCAATAAGGCAGTGTCAAATTCTTTCTTTGATCTCTAATATTACTTCACCTGGTATAATTCCACCATGGGTGCGGTGCATGCAATAAAACCTTTCGTAATAATTCCCATTACTTGGACATTTAAAAGCAGTTTTAGGAGTGAACTACTGTCTTTTTATTATTATTCTTTTTTCTAAGAGGTTATAATGCAACTGTGCATAATTGCGAAAGGAGTGGAGAGGGGCGAGGGACGCGAGCGCGGGGCGGCGCGAGAACGCGGATCGCCGCGATGTTGGGCACTTTCGAAATTGTATACTTACAAATCGGTCCATTTAACTTGTTCATGTACTACTTTTTGTCAAATGTAACTGGGTGACTACCTATGTGCAATATTTTGCTTTATTACTCAATTGTTAAGTTTAAAAGTTGGTCTTATTGCTCAACGCAAGCAAATTTGTGTTATTTTACATTCAATTGGGAAATAACGCAAATTTGCGTTATTGTCATTCGTGTTATTTCACCCCCATTCAGCAAATACCTATTGTACGCGATGAGAGCAAGTAGTGTACTTACTTTGGTGGGTTAATAGTAAGTAGGTAAAGTATTTGCTCTCTTAACGCTGAGCCAGAGGTCGGAAAAATTGACTTTGCGAGTGGGTTGGTGAGAAGAGTAAAATTTAAAGACCTAATGTGTCAACAATGAAAGATTATTAATGTTGTTCTTCACTAAGATATATATATGGGTGAAATAATACAAAGTTTGCTTCGTTTCACTTTTAAATTGGAAATAACACCAAAACCTGGGTTTTGCTTTATTTCCAACCTTTGTTGTTTGCCTTATTTCCCATTGCTAATATATACTATTTGGAACAAAAACCGTTTACTGACAGAAGGTAAAAGAACTTTGTTTATTCCAAAAATACTATTGAACAAATATTTTTACTTATGAAAGTCTAGCAAAATAACTCTTTAATAACTGCTCCTCAAATTGGACCTCGTTTCTGGCATTTTTTCAAAGCATGTGAGGTCGATTGGTTGTAACGGACGATCCATCAACAGTCATATGCAGGTTCCGTATTTTTACAAATCTAGAATATTTGAAAAGCCGTTTCATACAATCCCGTTGCCGTCCAACCGGCAGCCGAGTTTTCGGCAGAACATAGATATGTTTCCATGAAAATGTCAACCAGGACTGAAAAAATAAAAACAACTGAAAAGGGTTTTTAAGACGAATTAATAAGAGAAAAATACTCGAATTTTTATATTATAGAAGTATTTCAGCTTATTGGAATTTTAAAACTCAAAAATGGAAGAGTAAAACTGAATGTCTCTTCGACTCAGTTTTCTTTAATGAAATGAACTATTTTCTCTTTCCTATTAACTAAATTAAGAGATTTGAAACATTACAATTACATCTTAAAATCAAATTTGCAATAACAACTAACTATAAAAATGAGAAAAAGGAGAAGTTAGAGTTCGAATAACGGTAATTTTTTGATTTGCTTCTGATAGTATTCTAATGTCGCGTACGTTATGCAAAAACATTGTTTGTCTATGTCATTTGTATATTGGCAGTCGCAGGTAATGCAGATTACAATTCTTAAGCGAGAATTCTTCTAGTTAAAGATATACAGTAAAATTTTCTTTCCAACCGAAGTAAAAAAAATTTTATTACCCTTTAATGTTTGTCGCATACGTTATTGTAAGTAAGAAAATTTCAATCAAATACATCAAAACCAATTTTAATTGCAAATTTTCCATTTAAATTATTTAGAATAGTTGTAAAACAATGAAACGGTGGCGAGAACAGTTCTCATTAAATACATTTTGTTACTTACGAGAAAAATTGTCGCGTACGTTATTGTTTTTTTTTTAATATAAAACTAGCCAGAGATAATTTCTCTTAAAATATGAAAGGATTGTAAAGGTACATTATTTAGCTTAGTTTAGGAAAATGTAAAGAAAAGGAAAACTCCCATGATTCGCAGATTTTCGCATATATGCGTGTTTCCATGAAAATGTAAACCGAAAATGCAAGCAAATGAATTCAAACGGCTTTATAACTTTAAATTTCGTATTAAGATGGCGGAGAAATGGTCTTGAAAACGCGAAACGGTGGAGAGAAGAACTGAAAAAATTTAATTTAGTATGTGTTACTTGTAAAAATATTGTATGGGGGAAAAATCTGTCGCGTATGTTATGTCGCGTACGTTATTACAATTTTTTAAAATAAAAACTAACCAGAGATAATTTCTATCAAAAAATGGAAGGATTGTAAATTATTTAGCTTGGTTTAGGATTTTTTAAAGAAAAGAAAAACTCTTATGATTCGCAGACTTTCGCATATATGTACATGTGCCTTAAAACCACTTCTTTTTTTGTCGCGTACGTTATCACCTGGTTTTGAACGGATATTTTCCACACCAAAGTTTCGAGGCTGCTTATTTTTTTCTCAAACATAGTACCCTTTGGTTGCAACATAACCGTTATCTTTTTTTTCTGTAACTTCTATTTTTGATAGATTTACGTTACTCTATAAGCGTACGAATGTCGCGTACGGCTGTATGGAAACACCCATATGTAGATATGTGAATGTACATAAATATGTACTTATAAATGATGGTGAAGTTGTTATGGTTTTTACAGAATCCGCTGTCCGGTTGCATACATTTTGTGACAAACCTACTCCGAATTCTGTATATGCGTTTATAGAAGTGTTCTAATTTGATGTGTTGTGCTTTAGATATATGTATGTATCTTAACACTTGACCATTAGATAAAGGAAATTACTGTGACAACCTTGTACCAAATAAAGAATTTCTTCTACAGCAAAACCTGGCGCGTATATGCTTCCTTTCTTTAATATTTCTGGTGTATGTCAAAGGTTTTGCCGCCGAATGGCAAATGTGTTTTACAATTACGATATATAGTCATGTAAACAGACATACTGGCTTCTGGGGGGGAGCTATATACGTGTGTATTTATAGTCTGTATGTACTATTGAGCCTTGAAAAGACTCCCTTTATTTTGGATAAAACGTTTATAAACTGGATCAAAGTGGTTTGTTGTACTATTATAATTTTTAATAAAAATCTATATTACCTAATTTACTACTTTTTTATTTTGGTAGTAACTGAATAACTAAGTACCCGACTATAGATATTCATAGCGGTAATTCTTTTCTGATCATCTTACCGCTATATAGGAGCTAGCCGGGGATTTTATTTAATACATATTTTATCATAAACCATTCTAAATGTAAAGTTTCAGCAATTTCGCTGGAGTTTCGGATTACGAATCTGATGTCAAATTTTCAAAATTCAAAATGGCGGATCCAATATGGCGACCAACTTTTTAGAAAATGGTTGGATTTGTTTGAAACTTTTAACCGCCATTTTGAATTTTGAAAATCTGATATCCGATTCGTAATCAGAAACCCCTGAAACCCACTGGAACGAGTTTCAACCCTTGACAATGCTTAAAGCGTTCATTATCAACGTTTTTATTTTAGTAATTTTTTTTAATATGATCGCCATATTGAATCCGCAATTTTGAACAAAAAAATTTACTTCAGATTCGTAATCAGCAACCCAAAAAACTCCCGCCAGGTTTCGGACAAATCCAATCATTTTTTAAAAAATAGATCGTCATTTTGGATTCGCCATATTTAATTTTGAAAAACTGGCTTCAGACTCCTAATTAGCAACCCCAGAAACCCCCTGGTAACAAGTTCCAAGTCTTAATTTTAATAGTCTCTTTTCAAGAGCAAGTTTTCGGGAACTAGGCCCATTCTAACTGTCCAAGACAGGTATGGAATTAAGGGAAGGAATATTGTTCCCCAATAATACCAGAGTAATTATGTGTAAAAACCAAATTTTTAGCTACATTTTACCATGTCACGAAAATAAAAAAATTGAGAACATTAGCGTTTTTATAGAAAACCGACCAGCGCGACCTCTAGAAAACTTTTTTTTTTCAAAATAAAAAATAATAAACTAAGTCTTTGCTTCTGCGAAAACCTAGTTCTGCAAAAAAAAATTTATCACGCGAAAATTATTATTTAATTTGCCCAGCAGAAATATGATATTAAGAAGAACTAATGAATCAAGGCCATTCTGTAGTTTTTGGTCCAACGGGCGTTAATATTTAACAGCTGGATAAAATATGATTACCTAACTTTGATTTAAACCAGCTGACTCGAACCTTTAAACTGAAAGACACTGAAAAGCTGGCCCTTAGAGTAGATGCTGCGCTCTTTTGAATGCAATACACTTCAAATAAAAGATAAAAATTAGCAATTTTGGGTTATGAGGTATTACATATAGGACCACCTCTACAAAACTCATCGAAATTATTTACACTAATTTTAGCACCTTTTCTAAACTTGGACTTATTTTTCCCCTCTTTCTACTACTTTTGAAATGCATGCCACAATTAAGACATTTGGTGAGTTCGTACTGCCATCACCTTCTCTTATTCCACCATGCAGTATACCAGTAGAAAAGGTTTTTGTTTTTGTAACTGTTTCGTAGTGAAAGTCCTTTATGGGGGCCAAATTTCCCCACAAGAAATTGAGCGCATGGTTGCTTTTGCATTCCAAAAGATCGAATATTAGAAAACATTGAAAAAAGTTTGAGATAATACAATTATATTCTATTAAAATTAAGCACGATAGTGTGCGCTAATTAGATAATGTGATATGTAATCATGTTTCAGAACTCTTTTCAATTCTTATTTTTCAGAAAATAATATTACGGATCCGATTGCTCTGAGCGCTTGTGTTGTTTACCAAGAAAATGCATCCCTGTTAGTTTTTATTTCTGTATCGCATCGCGGTGAGTTTCTGTTTCTTGGAAATTCGGTTTGTGAAATGGTAAACAAATTATTGAAATTTATTTGTTTGATGTGTTTAACATTTGAATAATTCAATTTTCTGTCTTTTCAGACTATTTATTACAAGCACAGCATCATCAACGGTGATTGCAAGACCTACTGCAATCCTGACGGTTTTTCTCTTGGTAAATGCGTTCTGGTCGTGACCAAGGGTGGTCTCCCAAATTGGGCGGGAATAAGGTTAGTCATTTTCAATTTTATATATTTGTTCGTCGACATTATATGACATGTCATCATTGCAGGCTATTGTTGCAGAACAAAACGCCACAACCACTGCTGTGGTAAATATGTTCCAGCAGTACTGCCCACCGCCGTCGGTGTAATGATTTCGATAGCTGAACAAACGCCATCTCCTGGGCATTCCCACATGCCGACAATAGCTTTTATATCACGTGTGAATGCAACTGCGGCTAAATTTGGTTATTAACAGTGCAATAGTGCCATGTTATTGGCGAAAACACTAAGGGCTGCTGGCACATAGAGGTAAAGTTTTTGGAATCGATGAACTTACTCGAAGAAGGCGATGGCCGAAAACATTTGGCCAGTGGCTGAAACGGTATTACCGATGGCAACTGGCAACTGAAAGCTGGCAACTGAGTTGCTATATTGGCAACTACATTCTTGTGGCTGCCGGGAAATTTTGATTGAGATACTGTATTTCTTTTTTCAACTTTTTTTTTCAATTTGTATCACCTTGAACTTTATGAAACTTAAATATTGCTATTCATAATAACCAACATTTTCATTTCAGTGGCGCTGTCCATCGGCAGCCCAACTGAGGTACCGTTCCATAATCGATCCATAAGTCATAATCACACGAACTAATCAATGCTGTCATAGAATCCATCGTAGTCCGATTTTTCGTGAAATCTACGAAAATGCTATTAAATTCGAGTAGCTACGAACGCAGCGCTTGCTTTGAATACACACGTTCATAGCAGTTCAGATTCAGTGATCGCTTTTTCGTAGATTTTATGAAAAATCGGACTACGATGGATTCCGCCACCAATATGTTTTCTCCTTTGGCAAGATGTTGGAGAATCGCGGCAGCACAGCCCTATACCTACTATATGCTCTTACGCGCATATGCTAAATTTCTCGCACCTAGCTAAAGTGCTTGACAAAGGCAGAAGGCATATCTTCAACATTATAACTTAAAGTAAAAAAGTTTAAGATATGCAATAAAAGAATACAGCAGAACCAAAAAATGTTCGTAAAACTATTAAACATAAAACTTGCACGAATAAAATTCATAATTTAAAATAAAATAAAATAAACTATCGCAATTGTTTTTAATATGTACATACATATTTACAAAATGAATCTTAAATCATCCACAGTAAGTACTAAAAAAATATAAATGACCAATAAGAAAAATAATAAATAACAGCAATGTGAACAAGTATGTCGAGAAATCTCTAAATAGTAGCGAAACTGTATCTCAATAATAACAAGTAATTTTTTATCTCGACCAAGGTGTATCCATGATACAAAAGTCTGAAGGTAAAACCGCTGGGAGGCAGCCTGAACATTTTTGAAGTTTGCCAGCATTACAAAAATGTTTTCAAATTTCCAATCTCACAAATACATTCTCATTTTCAGTCTCAAATAAGTGAAAATTTCAATATTTTCATCTTTTTTTTTTGTTTTACTTTTATTTGGCATTTCAGTTGCTCTCAAAATTTCCATCTTACAAAAAAAAGACAAACTTCAAAAAATAAATGATGGCCGACGAATTGAGCAAGCAGTTTTACCTTTACATATTTGTATAATGGGTGTATTAAACAAGGTGTTATTGACAACTCAGTGCGGCTCTCTTGTAAGATACTATTATGTAAAAAAATATAAACAAACGATTCAAAATTCATACAAATTTTTTTCAATTTGACTATAGAATGGTTCTTCTGAGAGCAATATCAAATTCAATCACACTTTGCTAAATACATTTTGATCTCTACCAAATAATATACTTCCTCTGTAAATATTTTATGAAGTGTTCCAAAATTCGATCCGAGCGCGTTCACTGTTGATCATTTGATTTAAATAGTTTGTTAAACAATTAATACTATAGTTTGATCGGAGTTAATATATTCTTCAGTAATTCATTATATTATATTAAAACATAAGCTTATGAGAAATTATTTAGTCTTAACATCCATACCAAAATTCGCTCCTAGCGCGTTCACTATTGATCTTTCGATTCAAATATTGTTTGTCAAGCATTCAGTAGTGAAGTTTGATCGGAGTTTATATATTCTTCAATAATTAATCATATTACATTGAAATATAAACGTATAAGATGATAGAAAGTTAGAAATTATTAGGAGTGCAATGGGGTATAGTTATTGCGCTGTGTATGCAGTTACAGTTGCATGGCTATACTCAATCCCGACTCTTGGGTCTTCGTTCGCGCACTCTGGGAAACGTGAGTAACCCATGTGCGAGATGCGGTAACCAATCCGAGTGGAGCCTTGGGTCACGGCAGAAAAAGAGGGAGCTTCGGTGGGGGAACTCTGACTTATTCGGTTTAAGGGCTCACTGAAGTCTGCAGCGTCTGTTCACCAGTAGGTATGGCTGCAAGCGGGTGTCTGCTTGGAGCAAGCGGCTCGCTATATAAACGTGTATTTGGTTGCGAAACCACCCCCGTCCCAGCAATGGGTTGTGCGCTGGGCTTGGGACCCGCCACGTAAAAACCACTTCCATTGAAGAAGCAAGGCAAAGCCTCGGATGAGACGACGTCTACTACAGCAGCCATGTAAAGAAGCGCAAATTCGGAGTTGGATTTGTGGTGTTGTACTGTCGTTCACTCCGGTGGACGAGCGTCTAGTCACAATCCACATCAAAGCGAGATTCTTCAACATCTCGTTCATCTGCGCCCATGCCCCGACGGAAGAGAAGGATGAGGCATCCAATGATCTCTTCTATAAGCGCTTGGAGCGCACGTACGAGCGCTGCCCCCGTCATGATATCAAAATCGTGTTTGGCGACTTCAATGCCAGGGTGGGCAAGGAAGGGATCTTTGGAACCACCGTCGGAAAATTCAGCCTCCACGACGAAACGGCCGACAACGGATTGAGGCTGATCGACTTCGCCGAGACCCGAAACATGGTAGTATGCAGTACTAGGTTCAAGCATAAAAAGATCCATCAAGTTACGTGGCTGTCTCCGGATCGGAAAACGAGAAACCAAATCGATCATGTTGTGATAGAAGGAAGGCACAATTCCAGTGTTTTAGAATTACGCACACTCCGAGGCCCAAACATCGACTCGGACCACTATCTTGTTGCAGCCAAGATACGCACCCGCCTCTGTGCAGCAAAAAAATGTGCGCCCAAATATGCAAGAAAAGCTTAACGTCGAAAAGCTGCAATCACAACAGACAGCCAGCGCTTTTTCTACACGACTCTCACACCCGCTCTCAGAGAACACTCTTCAACAAACCGACATATGCGAGCAGTGGAACCACATTTCCCGCTCATTAAGTAGCGCCGCCGAAGAAGTAGTCGGATTTCAGCGAGCCCGAAAGAATAACTGGTACGATGAGGAGTGTCAGGAAGCTGCAGAGAAAAAAGATGCCGCCTACAGGGCCACGCTGCGATCGGGCGCAACGCGCGCTATGTGAGACCGCTATAGGGATCTGAAAAGGGGAAGCGAGACGTATTTGCCGCAACAAGAAGAGAGAGGCCGAAATACGTGAGTGCGAAGAGCTTGAAATGCTGGTCGACAGGAGGAATGCCCGAAAATTTTACCAGAGAGTTCGGCGACTTACGGAAGGGTTAAAGACCGGGGCGCACTCCTGTAAGAACAATAATGGCGACCTAGTAACTGATGTCCAGAGCATACTTGAATTATAGAGGGAACACTTTTCCGCCCTACTAAATGGTAGCAGCACGGAAGGAAAGCTGTGGGGAAGAATAACCCGAGCTCGCAGTCGATGATGACGGAGTCGACGTTCCACCGCCTGACTATGACGAGGTACGTATAGCACTAACGCGGCTTAAAAACAACAAAGCCGCTGGACCTGACAGCCTGCCAGCTGAGCTATTCAAGTACGGCGGCGAGGAGTTGATAAGGTGCATGCATCAACTCTTGTGCAGAATATGGTCAGATGAATGCATGCCGACGACTGGAATTTAAGTGTGCTCTGCCCAATCCACAAGAAAGGTGACCCCGCCATTCGCGCCAACTACCGCGGGATCAGCCTTCTAAGCATAGGTTACAAGGTCTTATCGAGTGTTTTTTGTGAAAGACTGAAGCCCACCGTCAATGAACTGATTGGGCCTTATCAGTATGGCTTTACACCTGGCAAATCCACCATAGACCAGGTATTCACAATACGCCAAATCTTGGAAAATACCCGCGAGAAAAGGATCGACACTCACCACCTATTTGTCGACTTTAAAGCCGCTTTTGATAGCACTAAAAGGAGTTGCCTATACGCCGCTATGTCTGAATTTGGCATCCCCTCAAAACTCATACGGCTGTGTAAAATGACGTTGAGCAATACCGCCAGTACCGTCAGAATTGGGAAAGACCCCTCCGAGCCGTTCGCCACATAACGGGGTTTCAGACAGGGCGACTTTCATGTGAATTCTTTAATCTGATGTTGGAGAAGATAATAAGAGCTGCAGAACTGAACCGCTCAGGAACAATTTACTACAAGAGCGTGCAATTGCTGGCTTATGCCGATGACATCGACATCAACGGTAACAAAAACCGCGAAGTCTGTTCTGCCTTTTCCAAGTTGGATATGGAAGCAAAGCGAATTGGTCTAACGAGGACAAGACGAAGTATCTCCTGTCATCAAACAAACAGTCAGCACATTCACGCCTTGGCACCCACGTCACTGTTGACAGTTACAATTTCGAGAAAGTAGAGAATTTCGTTTACTTGGGAACCAGCATTAACACCGATAATAATATCAGCATTGAAATCCTACGCAGAATCACTCTTGCCAACAAGTGCTACTTTGGACTGAGTAGGCGATTCAGGAGTAAAGTCCTCTCTCGACGTACGAAAACCACGCTCTATAAGTCACTCATCATGCCCGTGCTGGTATATGGCGCAGAAGCATGGACAATGACAACATCCGATGAGGCGGCTCTTGGAGTGTTTGAGAGAAAGATTTTGCGGAAGATTTAGGGGCCTTTACGCGTTGGCAACGGCGAGTACCGCAGACGATGGAACGATGAGCTGTATGAGCTTTACAACGATATGGACATAGTGCAGCGAATTAAAATACAGCGGCTCCGCTGGCTTGGTCATGTCGTTCGAATGGACACCGACGCTCCAGCTCTGAAAGTATTCAACTCGGAACCCGCTGGTGGTAGCAGAGGAAGAGGGAGGCCCCCACTGCGATGGAAAGATCAGGTGGAGAAGGACTTGGCTTCACTTGGCGTTTCCAATTGGCGTCAGTTGGCACAGAGGAGAAACGACTGGCGTGCTTTGCTGAGCT